TGTTTTTTCACTCCATTTACAGTAATTACTTTTGTGCTAGCTTTTTGTAGAACAAAAGCACCTGCATTTGACACCTACATTGTTCCAGAATACCAACCCACCTGTTTCTTTTTGAGTCTTTATGTGTAGAACAACAGTTCTTCCTAGAAGTTTTGTTATTTCTCTTTGCAACTAGTTTACAGACTGAGAGCAACAGAATAGTGACTTACAGTCTAGAAAGAGAAGGAATATTAACTTTTGTTCATTTAAGAGAGTTACAACCCCTGTGCAACATGCAGAGCTGCCACAGAGACACGATCATTTAACAAAATATTCACCATCATATTGGGCAGCAATTAGATGATGTGACATGTTATACCAGAGGACTGTATTGTTCTAACATAATGGGGAACCATCCAGGAGACATGAAACTACCCAGTGAACAACAGAATAGGTTTGGATAAGCAGTCTGGGAGCAACAGAGTATCCATAAAATTGATATGCTATTTCAAACTTTATACTTGGTATAGACATTTGGTTTTTTCCACTGCTGGAAGCCTACCAATTAAAGCTAAAAGATGACCAGAGAGCAAAACAGTAATCTGGAAGAGGGGATGAATGAGGAGGGCAAAACACTTTTATATAAGCAAAACTGGAAGGAGAAAATATTACTAGCTGAAAATAAAGGAGCATGTTAAGCTCTGTGGTAGATTCTGCAGGCTGCTAGACCCATGGGACTTCTGCATGAACACTGTGAGGTGGTTACAGACTTTGAAAAGCAAAATTCTTTCTAAATAAACAATGAATTATTTTAAGATCATCTGGAAGGCAAAGGAGTGCTCACTAACATTATTTCTTCCCTGAGACAAGCCTGTGAAGGTAATCACTGCCAGACTCAGGTAGAACACTACCCAAAGGCTGGTCTTTGAGTTGGAAAAAAATTACAGGAACCCATCTTCAGAAAGGCTAATGATTAGCATTACTGACCTGGAGGGGAGACACCTGATGCTAACAGGAGTCTTCTAACCCAAATGTGCTGAATATAGTCCTTTCAAAAATGTTTAACAAAGCCAACTGTTAGTACTACATTCATTTGCTTCTTTTAATAGCATACCATCACTGACAGGATGTAAAATCACTGTTTTATCCTGGGCAGTCTCACCCCATAGAGAGGCATCAGCAATTTTTCAGATGATACCTTCCATATAAAGGTTGCTATTTCTATCTTTTATGGTCATGGCAAGACAGCATATTTCTTCTGGCTCACCCCAGCTTGCAGAATGTTCAGCATAGCTGGCTCTCATTCTTCTTTTATGAAGTCTTCCTCTGTCATTGCTTGACAGTACATTAAGAGGTCAAATTCAGTCAGTCATCCACTGACTGGAATGTAATGGATTTGTTACTACATGCCACCTTTCAAGAAGTCATCTTCCTAGGCTTATTTGTGTCTTTTGGATGTCCAGCTCTTTAACAGCTCAGTCCAAAACACTTTATCTCTCACTGTAGTCATTGCCTACATTTCACATCCCTTGTCCCTGAGCACCACATCAACCTCTGAAATGTGCAGTTAATGTTTAAACACATGAACAAGGGGCACTTTCAGATATATTTGGGTCAGTATTATGAAGTTCATGCCAAAGGATGTTGTGTGTTAGCTGAGCAATACAGTTTATTTTTTCCAACTGCTTCAGCCAACAGCCAACTACATGACCTATCCTAAAAAATTTCTTCTTTAAAATTTGTAACGAAAGGATTTAATATAAAACCAAAAAAGTAGGAACTAACTCATTTTAAATACATACAGAGACCAGGGAATGGTCTCTGAAATGGGTATGAGATGGCTATAACTCAGGTCAGCTAAGTCCTTAATTTTTTACATCTTACGCTTTCTTTTATTTAGGATATACATCTAGGTAATGCTTCTGGGGTTTTTTGGGTTTTTTTCCCTGCCATCTACAGAGCCCTACGGTCCCTTAATGCAGCTTTCTTCATCTTTTCTTGATACATGCCATCAAACTGTGCTTCCAAAAAGAGATGTCATTAGGAAGGGAGCCCTCAGGCATGACATTATACAGTTGCCTGGTTCATATAAATGTGAATTGGAAAAATAATCAACCACTTTTAAATACAGCTTTAAAACCATGCAGTTGAACTTGCCTACACTATTTACATGAAACATCTTGTAGTCATTCCATACAGTAGTAAAATTAGCATTTTTCTGTAAGGCAGCAGCAACTGGAGATACACAATAGCATCAGGTCTTTGTCCCTTCAAAGAGGTTTCACAAAGCAGTAAAGGCCTTCTAGCATAAACTGCACTAGAAAGCCTAAAATGGTTTCAAATTTGGTACAAACTATGGATGTACTCTGTTATTCTTGCTTTTCCCCTCCTTATTGGATTCCCATTCCTTTTTTCAGAAACACTTGTTTATTTCCAATTTTTTTAGCTTTTTTTTTTTCTTTCTTGCCTTGCAACTCTGACATCCTCTCTCCATTCCCTCACTAATGAGTTATTTGCTGTCTGGTTAAGAGAAAGACCCACATGGACACAAGGCAGTCACACAGCAGAGGCAAGAAGCCAACCCCATCTCCTCCATCCATGTTGTCCTGGCTTGTAAGATAAGCATGTATTTTATTTGCCATCTGTTGGAGGTGGGGCAGTTTTCTTATCTCTTCCAAGAACAATGTCTCCCTCGGGGAGAGATCTTCTGTTAATGGGCCATTGAATACTCACTGCATGACCGGTAAAGTTACATCATCCCATTGTGAGATGCTCCACCCAGAGGGAGGAGCCAAGCATCCCTACCTGCATAAAATCAGCATTTTTTGGGACATCAGAGCAGCCCTTTTGCTGGATTCCCAGAGGAGCAACTTCTTCCCCGCTGGATCCCCAGAGGAAGACCAGGCCCAACCACTCCATCACCAGACCTTCAGAGAAAACTCCACCCTTCTACAGATCCCCGCTCCAGCAGCATTTCATCTGCCACTCCAGGAGGAGCAGCCACCATTTAACTGGACTATTACCAACACCCTGACTCCTCAGGGTGTCAGCTTTCTGACTCTATCACTAGTTTTGTTTATACTAATTACATTTTCTTTTAATTTAGTTTTTTCTTAGTAAAAAAACTATTATTCCCATTCCCATATCTTTTGCCTGAGAGCCTTTTAATTTTGAAATTGTGGTAATTCGGAGGGAGGGGGTTTACCTTTTCCATTTCACAGGAGGCTCTTGCCTTCCTTCACAGACTCATGTCTTTTCAAACTAAGACACATGTACCTGTGAATGAGTGTCACTGTCAGCCTTGTTACACACCCTTGTGCGTGCAAGGAGCAAAGAGGGGCCCTTCCAAGGGCACACACTTTAGAAGGCTCTGCCTAGGACCAAGCATGAACCTGGGCCTTCACTACCAATACTAATTGTTTCTATCAAAAACAACCTATTCTGCTATTCCTTTGCAAAGGTCTTTGTGCACATCAAGATTTGCACTGACAAAAACTTAAGAGATAATATTCTTTTCAGCTTTGGGGAAATCAGATTACCAGAGAGCACAAAAGAACCCACCCAGCAGCCCTTCAAGCTATTTTGCATACAATGCTTGCTATGTTTTGTCCTCCCTGAAACATAAATAATCAGTAACTGCTGGGGGAAAGATCCAGGACATGATGGACCAGTTGGTCAAATGGACAAGGCAAACACTCTTCTCCTGACATAAACAACCTCTTCCTCTGTCTTGTGTATCTTTAGGTGTTTTTGTAGTCTTCAACAAACATCTGATCTCTGATTGTACAATGTGACCTTTGACTGTATGAGGGGTTTTTACTTTGTTTATTACTTTAAAACCCTAAAATACAATTCAGCAGCCACTGGGCTATTTCCTGCTTCAGTCATACCTATGGTTCACAATCTAAAGAGCAGAGCTGGCTTCATTTAAAAAGCATTTCCATTGCTAATTTCCACTTCATTCTCAAAGAAGCACAGTCTCAGCTTCTCATATTCACCAAGTAACTAACCTCAAAAACACAGGCAGCAAAGCTATTTTAAATAGCAACATGTCGTTTGCAATTATATGCTGATACAACTCCGTAATTCTCAAAGATCCTAAAGCATTCAAGCTCACGTTTATACAGCCTCAATCTTCCTATGATCTTCCTTTGCTGTATTTAGACAATATTCCACTCAGTTTCTGGATTAAACCTGTGGAAGCTGCTTTCTCTGGCTACTGAGAATGCAGGCTAGCTAAAGACAATGATGCACAGGTTTAGAACACTTATTTAGGTACAGGCAATTCCAAATGAAAGTTGGTTTTCCAGCAATGCAATAGGATTTTCTGCAGTTTGGCTAAGAAAGAAACTCAGCTAGTATTAAATCACCAGAGAATATCACGGTAGCTTTAATTTTTGCACAGAACAGACAAATTCATTGTTTTGAAAGGTCATGACAGTAAATTGCATGGAATTCAATTTACCTCCCTCAGATGGATGAGGGTCTGAGTCAAACACAGAACAGTGGAAGCCTTTGGCTCCAAGAAGTCTGTGCTGTGTCAAACCTACTCCAAGGCAGACAAATCGTCCTTCCTCTCAACTATACATCATCACAGCTTGGGATTTTCAATTGATCTTTTCCCCCAGCTGTCATATTGCAGCAAATTGTGTCACAGATGAGCATCAAAACAATGGTCATTGCAAGAAAAAGTTGATTTTAACCAGGGAGTTACCAAATATAAAATTACTTGTGATACAGACCCATGTCACGCTCATTTCCCCACATCTAAAGTGAAATACAAAAAACGACAGGAAACAACACCATCAGCACAATACAAAAAGATAAACACTGGAAAAGAAAGTAAGTGTAAGGATTGCAGAAAGACTGTGAAGAAAGAAAGTAAAAGAACACCCTCTCCAGGAGGAGAGTGACACACCTGTGATATGTGATTTAACAGGCTCCCTGTGTATAACTGAGAACAATAGCTAATGAGCAGCTCATTCCTGACTGGATGTATGGCACCAGGCAACAACTCTTACCTAAAGCTCTCTGGGTATTCAACAACAGCCATGTTGATAACATCCAGTGCATGCTGATAGTGCTTCTGAGCTGAAAAGAGGAGGGCCAGTAGATGAAGTGAATTCATATCATCTTTGCACAGCTGCAGGGCTTCTTGAAGATGGTCTATAGCATCTGAAATCTAGAAGGAGATGGGGTAGAAATAACAAGAGAACACATCACTCTTTCAGTCCTACATGACACCTCAAAAATAAAAACAAATAGAGTAAACAGAAATTCTGAAGAAGTTCTGCTTAGGCACCTTCTACTATCAAAACAGGCTGCCAAAATTAACAGACTGCACTGCTTGAATAAAATCCACATGTTCCAGAGAAAGAAGTGTGCAGCATTACAAAATCACTGCTTACAAACAAGAGCAGCAGACCTGATCCAATCAACCCCCCATCCTTTGGCATGGTGATTTTATGATGTAAACATATCCACCACAGATGCCCACCTCTCAGCTCCATTTTCTAGGATGGGTGGCTGGCTCTTCACCCAAGGATGAGCATGGCACATCTCTGCTGCATTTTGTCTCTCATAATGGCTGTACAAAGCCTTTCATGATCTGGATCGAGGACATTAAAATTAAGTTTGAATGTTCAAGGGTAAAAGAGTCAAGATTTAAAATGCTGTCAGAAAAAAAAATATATTTGAAAGCAGTGATGTAAAGAGCCGTACTGACAGTCACAGCAGCAGCATGTTATTAGAACCAAGTCTCACTTGGCAGAAAACTTAACATCTCTAATGAATCCAAGTCTATCACATGCTCTTTGTGATCCAGTACACTATTTTAGGCTATCTGTTCAAAAGGGAACTTCTCAGCAGATTTTTTTTCATTTGTTTACTGGTAAGTTTTATGTAGAGGATGTTCTGTAAGATTCTCTAGTGTCTGAAATTACTGTTACATAGATTATTTCATTTCTGTGGCTCTGGAAATCTGCAGAAAACAAAGCATAAAAGTGTATAAATTTTTTTTCCACATGTATGCTTTTCCGCTCCTTCTCTTAATGGATGGAGAATGCAGTTCCTTCTTTTCTACTATGAGAACTTCCCACCTAGCAAAGCTTTACAGACGTCCTTCTACCCTGGCATACCACCAGTGTCAAATTCCCACTGCCTCTCACAAAAATGAGTAGCACGTAACTAAGGAAAGCAACAATGACACTGCCTGCAGCGACAGCAGAGGTTGTTGATTATCTAGACCCCAGGTACCCTTCTGGGAGCAGTATATATTCTGTTCACAGGCCAACTTCATCCTCATGTCCAAGAGACATCTCTCTCTTGCTGTGCACACAGGAGCCATGGTACTTAACCACTGTATTACTGGTGACTCCGTGCAAGCCTGGAGATCAGTGTGACTGCTCCAGACACAACCCCAAAACTGGCATCTGGCCCACAGTGTCAAAACTGCTGAATGTCCTGGCTTGGATTCAGGCTGGGATACATGACTGACTGCTCAGCTTTAATGAATTACTGCTTGTCAGTGGAGCTACTTTAACCACATGTGTTATTAAAGGCTACTGCAAAGGTAAACATGTTGGCTTAACCACCCATGTTCCCCCAGCAGTTTACTAGAACACATTTTTACACAATGTAAAAATTCTAGCAGTGACAAGACAACTTGGAGCCAGGACCAGACAGTGGTGGGCCCAGATCTATGTGGCCACGAAGTTTGTCAGTAGATATACCAGAGGTATATAAAATGTAACTTGCTAAAACAAAGCTGCTGTCAAGACTTCTTGCACTCAGGACTAAAAACCTATTTCTTTCTATTTCTCTGTCTCAGAGCTGCATAAGTATTCATAAAGAAAACACAAGTTTGGGGAAAAGTTCATTTGAAGAAAAAGAAAACCTGCAAATCAAACAACTGGAGGAGACTGGGAACAACCTGTTCCAGATGATCTTGCTTTGAGGAGGGGTTGAACTGGGTGATTGCTAATGGTCCTCTTCAAACTGTTCTATAATTAAGACTTGGGAAGGGGTTCCTAATTTGCTAGTATGAATCAGGTGAAGAATAACACTCGCAATTAATGCCTTTAGTGAGGGACTTCAAAATTGCAGGGGTACTTGACCTTACTCGTGTGTGAATATGCAAACTGAGACTTTGTTTTACGTGTTGAAAGTGACTTAGGATCAAACTGGGGGTAGGTCCATACTCCTAACAGAGGCTGGCCATCCAAGAACTCTGTTGCAACATGAAATAGAGCAGCAAAAAAAAGTGAGTTGTGGTCACTCCTGCAAACCTGTATCTGCTGGACAGACAGCCACATACTGATGAAAGAAATGTCATCTAAAGTGATTCTGTTCTGTAGCATGGGGCCTGCAATGGTTACATCTCATTTTTGTGCTTCCCTCTAGTACCATCAGAGTCACAGGCAATGGCTGGCTTTGAAAATTAATCATGCTTCCCAGGCACCTAATTTATTAACTTGAGTCCAAAAACACTCCTTAGCACTGAAAGACCATTAGTAGCCTACACAGTACTGCTGCATAATTAGAAACAGTGGACAAAAATAATACGGACTCTATGCCTTTACAAGAAAGCATGTGAAACAACAACCTGCAACAGACTCAATGCAATGAAATACAAACTAAATTTCTAGATCAACAAAAGCAAGATATTTGGCAGCAGTCAACACAAACTTCTTTTGAAAGATGTATTTTCATTTAAGTGACTATATAATTTGAGAAACATGGAAGCTGGCACCCCCAATGGCACCCTGAAACATCAGGGCTTTATCAGAGGCAGGCTATCAGTTTAAAATTCCCTACAAATACTGCACTTTAAAATAATCTTATTTCAGCTGGACTGCAAGTCTGTGTAGGGCCTACAATTAGACGAAGTTACAGTTCCCTGATTTATCATTCTGTTAAAAAATATACCACATATTTTGCATGGCACACAGGTATCTTCACATCACACTGATTAGGAAGCAAAGATGCTGCAGGAGGCCAGAAATAGCATCTTGCAGCATTACCGAAATAATGCCACAATATGGATTGTTTAGGCTGCCTTTTATACAGTAGGATTTATGTCAATAATGCTATATGTCTCCCTAAAAACAATGCCAATATGTCATAATTATAGGTATAAAAAGGAAAACAGACTGAGTGTAAAAAATACTTCCTAACAGTGAAATGAACTTAGATATTTAAAATGGTAAATGAAACAGGAACCCTTAAGAGAATTTTCAGGCCTTCAAATTTCACATCAGTTGACAGTTACACTTAATTAACCATTACAACTACCCACTCTATCTCTTTTTATAGCATGGAAAGGAGAAAGCTTTACTGACTGGAAAGAGCTTCCATTGAAAACAGACTTGCTACAGTTCACCAGAACCTCAGGAAAGTGGGTATACATCTATGGGTTATTACTTAGTTCTTCCTACAAGCCAAGAACTTCTTCCAAGTTCCTGATCACCAGAACAATCTAGGCTAGGACGTAGGCAGAAAAGCAGAATGTTGCTGTTCAGCAGAGGAGGCGGTCTGGGAAAAAGACAGACTAGAACTACCTACATCCAAGCATCACTGAAAGAAAAACCTCTTGAATACCTCCTAAAACAGAGCTCCTCTCTTTGAGCAGACAGCAGTCTCTCCTCCTTGAAACCAAACAAAAACTGGGCAAAACAGGTGAAATATTTTCTCTGGTCTCTTAACTGATGTTTATCTTAGCTGTACATCCAGACACTTGGGAAGGAAGTGTTTTCTGGATAGTGCCACTTGAAACTTGAGGTCTATTGGAAGTCCACAGGAAACTGGTGAGACTTACAGCACTCAGCTGCTGAGCCTTAACCATCTTTCCCTACCCATTTCCATCAAAAGAAAGGTTAGATCTAATAAAGTATTAAAATGGCATGATGCCTATATATGTTGTTTTTACACATTCAATACTGATTTACATGGCAGTCAAGGTCACAAACACCACCACCCCCAAAAAAAACAGATTCAACACTTAAAATTAGCAAGAGTGCTGCTGACTTTAGAGAGTCATTTCCATAGAAACCGGTCTGCTTTTTAAAAAACAAGGCAATGCATTAAAATCAGTGAGCTTTAAAATGCTCATTCTACCTTGGTTTTGCTGATCCAAGTGCTGTTACCACAGAAACAGGAGAAGCAGCTGAAGCAGCCACTGAGAGTTGGGAGCTACAAGTCTCATTTGTCACTGGGCTCGGCCAGCTGCCAGCCAGGCACTGCAGGTGGAGATATCCCCCGCAGCAGGTACAGACCTTGGCCTCCTGGCACTGCAGCTCAGGGGGAAAAGCGGACTGAGAGACCCTCCTTACACAGGTTATTCTACACTGTGTTTGGCTGGAAAATCCACTAAAACACTCTGGGGTTGATGCAGACCCTCCAAGTCTTCCCTGCGACTCCAGCAGTCTTTAAGACACACACACACACACATACAAAGCTCATTATCATAATTTTTTATCTTGGTTGCTGCTGGTTTCCAATGCCAACTCTGCATGAACCTTTTATAACCATTCCTCCTCTGTCACATCCTCATCTCATGTCAGAGGGATGCTTATGTTTTTCCATTTCCCCTTTGCCTTGCCCAGTGGTGACAGAGACAAGTGCTATTGGAAATATTTTACAGCCTTCCAAGGAAGATGAATTGCTCCAGCTTTTCTTGGCACCCTACTGTCAGCTGCCTCTCTTGCTTGGTTCCATGAAACCACTCTCTTATCTATGCAAGCTGATACCTGTATTTTTCAATGCTGGGTACAGTTACCTCATTTATTGACTCTGACGATGGAAACAAAAAGGCCTATTTATTGAGAAAAACATTCAGGTTTATTATAACCTACTATGCAGAAAAGGCCTGATTTATTGGTATTATACCATTGCCTGATGAAAGCCCCAACTGTGATGTTTAATAGTTAATGCAATCTATCAAAAAAGGTATCATTTTTCTTTCAGTTAATCAGAAAGAGAATATATTAGATACTTTAAATAATTAAGGATATTAAAAATGCATTACCAAATGTTTATCATTAAGTAAACTGGCAAAAGAAGAGTAGGATATTTTACAGCAGTCTAAAAATAAAGATGTCTCAGGTATCTCCCCTCTGTCCAAGCATGCGTTAAAGATTTATATCTCACTTGATGGAGAAGAGCAGGAGCACCATCGCAGGGGTCAGGCTGACACTATATAATACACTGAGATCACACAGCTGTGGGAACAGAGGCAACTGGCACAACATCAAGGATGAAAACACACAGGTGAACTAGACAAAAGAGGAAAGTGAACACAGGGACAAAAGACTGAATGGAAAGAACAGGAGGGAAGGGAAATAAAGCAACAAAGAGAGATGAAACAACACTGCAAAGACAGGCTACAACCAGAAAAAAAGAAAGGGTAATGAGTTATAATGCCAGTAACAGTGAAAACAACAAAAAAACAATGGCCACAAAAATCTTCACTTTATTTTTCAGGATAGCAGCTGAAAAGCTGTAATGCTTTACTCGTGGCAAGCAGAAGAGGCAGCAAATCAGACCATCTCCCTGTGAGGAAAAGCTGTGAGAGTAAAAAGGGTAGCTGGGTGTTTTTTAATGAAAGACCCTGAGCAAACTGCATCATAAAGCAGCCAGTAGACAGATGAGAAAGTTAAATAAGCCATTTTAATTATCCATTCTTATTGCAGGCTCACAGCACACTGCTCTCATTATGAAAGGGTTACAAAAGTGACATTATCAAGAGGGTGCTCTCTTGGAACAATTAGTTTAACCTAATGAACACACAGCTCCCCTAATTAGCTCAGGAAAGTAAGAAATACCCAACTGTTCAACTCCGTAATGTAGACTAAGGAGAGAAAACTGCAGCAAGCAGAAGGCCTGCCAAAGAAAGAAACTACAATGATGAAATTTCAAATCTAGCTAGAGAGGTATTTAAAAAACAGAAGCTGCTCCAATAAAGACTTAAGCTTTTAAACAGAAAGGACAGAGAAATACAACACCCCAGTTTAAAGAAAAAGGGGCAGAAAAATAAAGCACAGCCCAAGCAGTTGGGGATTTTTTTTCTGAGAGGCAGAGCAGAGCATTTTCTGATCAGCTTCATTTTTATGAGTTAACACCTGCAGCAGCATTGAAATGCCAACTAATCCCACACGCTGCAGAGCTCCAGCACGCGTCAAAGCCTGGCGTCAAACGTGCCCAAGTTTGGAATAAAGCAATCCCAGCGCGAGCTGGCATGGCACGGAACGGGCATGACCGGAGAGCCTCCGGAGTGGGATTCCAGGGAGCAGCAATAAACACACCTCACTCATCCCACACACACAGAGCTGCTCCAAGCCTGCTCAGGAGTTAGAGCTCAACACATTCCCTAGGGAAGGCCATTCCACGCGCTACAGAATTATTATTTTTAGAATAAGAATTAAAAAATATTTTACATAAACGTATTCTGACTGCTTGTTACTGGTTACAATGCAGGAAGGAAGGGACTCTGTTTAGCAAGGCTGGGTCGTGTTCAACTGGACTGGCCTTCCACCCTCCCATGACTCTGTGATTTCCAAAAATTTCACATACCTGTCTGACAAGAGCCAGCTGCAGTGACAGGTAGAGGATGATCTGGTGATCTTCAGGGGCCAGGTCATGTGCCCTTTAAGGATGACCACATAAGACAAAAAGAAGAGTGACTGTTAGATTGCACTGTGCAAAACTCCTTCACCATGAGTCACACAAGCATTGAACAAAACCCAGTCTTCCCCCACAGAAAACTAGTCTAGTAATGGGAGAGCACACTGAAACTAGACAAAAAGCAGAACAGTGCTGGCCTGGCTAAGCCAGAATCACAGGAAAAAGTATGGGAAACACAGCTGCCGGGATGTTATACAAGTTACACGATCCTTTATCAAATGCCATTTAGTATTTTGGAACTTGGATAACTAATATGGAAAAAGTAGCTCATAACAAACCTATCAAAGCATTATTTTAAGTAATTCAGGTGATAGACATAGTTGTCTAACTTGTTCCTATACTGCCACTTTTCAAACATTAAGAGAGGGTTAGATTAGCATTGAAAAACTAGTCACTATGAGCATGTAGAGGACTAAAAATCACCAGCCTCTGACACAAGCTGGTGCTCAAACATACAGAACATTCTCCACCCTGCAGCGTCTGGTTTAATTTTTGACAGCAGACTCCTAATTTGGAAAAGGAAGACACTGAGGGAGGAATGATTTGATGACAGGAGCTGCGCCTGGACCAACACCAAGGCCCTTACTTGTCAAGCTTGGACTCTGAGATACAACCTTCCAGCCCACAGCAGGCACCACGCTGAAGTGAAGCCTTGGCTAGAGAAGGCTGCAGTGTCCCCAGAACTAGTTGTGCAGGCCCTTAATAAATTCTTGTACAGGGCAGGGAACAGGGATGGACAGCCTGGGCAGAACTGTCCCCTCTCAGACTATGCTAGGCATGAAATTGCAGCCTGAATTTGCTAGCCTGTGGAGAAGCCATTAACCAAGGCAATGGTGGAATAGTGTCTTGGGGAACCCAGTCTAGGAGGAAAGGTGGGGCAGCAGCTCATGCCACCTGGCAGCCCACTCCAGGAACCAGTGGATTTTCCCCTTGTGACTCACAAAGCTCACTCACAGCTCTGCAGCACAGGGAAGCCATTTCACATGGGAGAAATGGGGAAGAGGAAAGTCCCTCATAGCCAATTAACATTCCTGACCTCTTTCTGGGCTGCATTCCAGGACACCAGGGAAACCTGCACCTGCATTGCCAGGCCCAAAGTGAGCACAATTAATATCCTTATGAGGGAGAAACGACAGGCTGACAACGCTGGTGGTTAAAACCCAGGCCAAAACTATTGATTTGCTAATAATAAACAAGTAACAATAAAAGAACTCCTTCAGGAAACAAGCCACACACCATTTTAATGGCAATTTTCAAATACCATCCTGGCCTGTGAGCATGAAGATTTTGAAGCTGATTTTTGTAACTAATGGTTCTAGTACAAATTAATTTAGTATGGACTGAATATATCCTGTAACTCTAAGTCAAGGTGGCACTCAAGTGTTCTGAAGCAATGCCAAAGACATTAACATGCAATTCGTACAGGTGAGTCACTAATTTTTCCTTCCGCTTCAAAAAACACATAAAAATCCCCAAACCCAAATAGCCACAACACCCCCACCAAAAAAATCCCCAACCCAAAAAATTGCGACAAACAACAAAACTGCACAAGACAGAACCCAACTTTGCCCTCAGGTGTTAGACAGGCTGAGCCACCTCTTTACAAAGTGTCTCTTGTGAAACTTTCAGCAGCCTCTCCAGTAGTAAATAACAGGGGAAAGGTCACAGGAGTATAGTAGATGAGATTAATGGTGCTTTTGGAAAGAAACAAAGCATTGTTACTTTACTGCTCCTTTTCCTCAGAAGGAATGGGGAAAACATGTGGTGCAATCTTCCAACTGAAAAAGCCCCTTGCAAAGATGACTACAGGCCAAACCATGGCCTGAGAGATCATACACGTTCTTCAAAAAAAGGCAAAAAACAAGGAAGGTACAAAAAGGAAGGAAACCAAACTTGGGCATATAGGAAAACACTAGTAATCAGTTCACTGTCACATTCCTGTTGGCTGACGTGTGGGTAGCTAATGTTTGGCTAGAAGCTTGTCTGCCTCCTAGGTAGAGTTAAGATACCATAAAAACAAGTCACAGCCAATGGGAAAGGTCAAAGGATTAAAAAGAAAAGTTTAAAAGCAGTGCAGCACCACAATTCCATAAAATTGGTCAGCAGTTTATATTTGACACTGGAGTCCACAATCCAGTGTGACCTAAAAAGTAGAAGTACACTCCTTATCCACACAGTGAATGAATAAATGGCTTTTAAAAGTTTTCTCTCTCAGACCTCCATAAAATAAATACCCAGAATTTTATCTGTGGCTTCAGAACTTGCACTCACTACAAAACCAGTGTAGGACAAACATGTTGGGCTCCTTCTTGGTCAGCATTGGCAAAATGGGTAAGATCCTTTAACATTTTCAAATTGTTAAACCTGTACTTTGAGATACCAGAGATCTCAAGTGTTCTTCACTTATGTAATTAGGACCACAATAAACTCAGAATGAGATACTTCAGCCCAAGACTTGGACCACATAAGCTTCCATTTAATTGCTATCTATATAGTCTGTAGGCATCTACATTTACAGCAGGTTGTAAATTGTGAATGCAATTGTACAAATGTAAATAACAGTCTGAACACCACCCAGTGCATTTTGGGTGGTGTAATTTAATCATAACAGGATCAGGAAGCTCACACCTTACCTCTCTTGCCCATAGAATGGACAAAAAAGTGTTTTAAATCAACCAGTTGTACTTGAGGTCTCAAGTGTAGCTGCCCAAGAGTGCAATTTGCAATTGCTTCCAAGGTGGAGCCATCGTATCAGTTTTCCCCAAAAATACAGGGATGAAGGAGAGGTGAGTGGTGTCTGCTTTGTACCACTAACTCTGGAACCTCCTCTTCCAACAATACCTCATGCAAGCATTCATTAGGACAGCAATTATACTCTCCCCTCGGTGCATTGGAGCCAGGTCACCCCATAGCTGCCTGCACCCAGATGCCGGAGGTACTTTCCCACCATGACAGAAATAGGATTTTAAGCCTGCTTCACACAGGAATCGAGACAAAATTAGCTTTCCACATTTGCCAGCTGGCATCATGTGAGGAAGCTGCATATCCCAGCACTGTAGATCTCACTGCAGCTAATTTGGAGCTAAGATTTTTTTTCTGTAAGGTGGCAGAACAGTACTCTTACCCTGGGTATTCAATCAAATAATCACTGCATTTAGCCATCACAAAAATGGTTTTGACAGTCTACTGCTGAAATCTAATGAACTGTTTTCAAAGTTTCTGGCACAGAAGCCTTACACAGAGGAAAAAGAAACATAAACATTTTTCTGAATTAATGAAAAAAATGCACAAATCAAGTACCTGCAAAATTCCTACTCACCTCTCCAAAGTCTGAAGTGCTTTCTTGTTCAATTCATCCTGAGTGCTCTTTAGAGTAGCTGTAGGACAAGATACAATGGCATTTAAGCATTAATTCAACGTTTCAGATAAATAAATAAATGTATAGAGTATTTAAAATTGGGAGAATAAACACTATGGAAATCTGTGTGTTTGTGCATGTGCTCATTTTGACATGAATTTTCAAATTCATTTTTATTAAAGATTATTTCAAGTCCTTTGAAACTCTGAAGCATTTTTTATTCACATATGCCACTGAAGGGGGCTTGGAGAAGGGGTCAAACGCTAACTAGATACCAAGAAGGTAACACATCCTCAGCCAGACTGCTGCAAATGCTACAGGCAGTAACCTGCATCACATTCTGACCCAGGTACAGACTGCCCCATCACCACCTTCATGTAGGAGGGTGCTGCAGGTTGAACAGGGAACACCAGCAGCCAAACTTACAGCTCTTAACAAAACACCATCTTTGAGACCACAACAGACTTTTAGGTTACTTCAGATGTGGCATTAGCCATTAATGCCCTTCTTCCATGTCTCTAATTGCTTGACTAATGGATCCTACCCAGTACACACATGTATCAATGTACAAATTAACTCCTACCTAAAGCCAGAAAAGGAAGAGAAGAATCAAGCTCTTGTTATACCTGGGTATCATAAGATATCATCATCAAGATCAACAGGAACAGAGGAAGAGCTTAAAGGAACATGCCTTTCTCAGATCCAAAACATCTGGAAACCTAGTGATAGTTTTTAGAAATGCATTGGCTGTCTTGTTCTGGTTCTTAGATTTTCATATTTTGCATAGCAGTTGTTTCTTGTTCTGCCTATCTTGAAATTGAGAGCTACTGATCAACAGCATAAGGAAGTCATGAGTAGCTAATCCATTAGCAAACATCACCCATGAATGTATCTGATTTGATACATCAAGTCAGTGTATGCTCTAAAACAGAAAGCTGCTAAGTAGTATATAATAATGTAACAAACCCAGTGAAATTCAAGTACTCCTAGAAGTTATTAACAAGAAAAGAGACATGTTCTTCTGCAAGACTTGCAAAGGTATCTAGTTTCTTTGCATTCTGCAATATGCCAGTGAGTGAAATTTTGGAAGCAAATTATTTGCTGCAGCAGCTATAGTGATCAGACCTTTTTTATTTCTACATCTTCCAACAGCTCCTCAGAACACCAGGTTCATTTGGGAGGAACAGCAATCTTCAGGATTTCCTAATCATAAAGAGCAGAACTTACTTAGGCCACAAACCCTACTCTAAGTATTAAAAACAGATGCAAAAATTTGTATTTTAAATAATAAATTTAAAGACATGGACTTTCATGTAAAATGCAGCATCTATTAAAAATACAACACTCAGTAGCCTTAAATCAGGCTGCAAAATACTGGATAAAGGTAAAAAAAGAAGAATACTTGCAAAAAAAAATTAAAGAACCAAGATTTATATAAACAAAAATGCTTGAGGAGACATTGGAAAGGATTTGATCATACCTATAAGCATCCCTACAGAAAAAAATCTGAAATTCTGTTTCTCATGGAAACTACCATTCTTTAAGTTACAGAGCAATTCTGAAGATGTCACACAATAATAAAGACTGAAAGAAATGTTACCATTTGTCCCTCAAATTAAACACCAAATGGAAAAGCTAGAACTTTGAGCTTCCACCTGTTAAGATATTTGATTAATGTGCAGCTTGTAGTCAGAAAGAACACAAAATATGTTGTGGAAATGATGTGATTACAACTAGTCAGCTTTGCCTCTGCATTACTAGGAAACAGCATGTGACTCCCACCTCCCACAATATGGACTGCATCTTCAGCTATCACAAAGTTGGAATGCTGTGCAGCTCTGGCTCCCACAACATAAGCCATGGTTCTATTGGAACAAACCCAAAAAAGGGCCATGGAAATGGTTTGAGGGCTGGAAGACGTCTCCTACACAGAAAAGCTGAGGGAATTGGAGTTTTTCAACCTGGAGAAGGGTCAAGGGAGGCCTAACTGCACACTCTTAATATTTCAAGAGGGTTTTAAAGAAAGAGAGTTATTTTTTTACCTGGTCCTAAAATTATAGGACAAGGGGTAATGGTTTTAAACTAGAAGAGGGAAAATTTAGATTATATACAGGAAGAAATTCTTTACTAGGAGGGTGGCAAGTCTCTGGAACAGACTGCCCAAAGATGTTGGACATGCCCTATCCTGAATTATTCAAAGAACTCTGCAACCCACTTGTATCACTGAGAAGCTCTCACTTCAGACAAACAAAAGCTGGCACTAAGGAAACAGAACCTGGTGGGTCTGATTAAATTTTTAAAAATTGTGCTCCATTCTCCCAGGTCAATGGCACCAAAGAATTTTTCAGTCCCTACCCAACCTTACTTCCTGTAAGCATGGCTGCTGCAGTTCCATCAACTAAAACAAAATAGGACTTACTACTTAGATTAAAATAAGCTGCAAAAGCAGTCTGACCAATGGGAGAGTGGCACAGGGGGGTTTTTGAAATCCATAAGACAGTACTTTGGCAAATGCCACTTGAGCAGCCCAAGATTTATTTTCTGAAGCACTCTGGGTTTTCAAAGGTTCTTCAGCAATATTTTGGTACCTAAATACAAAGCTCTGGAAACATATTTGAAAACAAAGGAGGACAAGTTCTGTCTTAGTAAAAGCAGTTAGAGCACAGTAGGAGTAGTGAATGCATGGAATGAAACACAGTGCTGAGGATCAGAATCAACTCTACAAACATGGGGACAGGAATCTAGTTCTAATCTTGTCCAATGGATTGAGCACCCATTAGCAGCTGAAGCACAGTCAGGTCTATTTATGTAAAACATTTGTTTTGTGGGAAAGAATTCCGTTTGTAATGTGCCAAACTGTTCCATTATGTGAATCACAATGTAAGAAGTGGGGATGACAGATAAATGGACTTCATAAATAAATTTCTCATCCAAACTAAAACACTGACATGCATGCACCCTTTTGCAAATATGACTTGAGTTTCGGAAACTATTCCCTTGTGTTAAGACATCTAATATGGCACAACATACAGTTTTAGCACCCAGAATTGTAATTAAAGATTGCATGCACTGTTATTTCCAAAAGCAAAGATTGTAAGTTTGTTCACTAATAATTTATTCACTTTTTAGTGAACAAATGTGTGGGGGGCTTAACATGAACCAGTGCTGTCAGTACACTGACTGTTTGCAAAATCCACAAACACTGATAGAATGAGTTTCTAATTCAGTCCCTGATCCATGACCTTCTACCAAAATCCTAAGTGAAAACAGAGATACAGCACACCCATCTCTGAAAAAAAAAAAAAAAAAAAGAGGGACTGTTAAATCTACAAATATTTCACAATTTGTGAGGTGGTCATGTGAGGTTAGAGCAGCACTTGTATTTCACAATACATTCTCAACCTAGTCTTGCCTCTTCAGCCTTTGGTAAATTCACCTCACCTTTCCCTGACTCCCTGACATCAGTGAATTCTTCACCACACCTAAGGGAAAAACGCTGACAATACAGCTTATGTCAAAACTGAAAGTGTGGGAAGAAGAGGAATGGTTTGCCCTTGGCATTGACCCATTGGAAACTGATCTGCAGAACATGGACATTAACTATGCACAGGAGACTTGGGCTTCTAAGACTGTGGCAGAAAGTATCAATGACTTCCTCTGAGGACACATCTTTCAGGTACTTCAATGAAACTTATTTCAAGAAACATGTAATTAAACATTAAGAATAAGGAAGCTTTCCAGCATAAGTTTCAGGAAATCTTACTTCCTACAGGAGGTTTTTGCAAATCACAAAGAAAAGGCTTTAATGCAACTCCTCAGTGCCTTTGTCATACAGGAGGAGAAATAATTACTAAAATGTTGTATTAAATAAGAAAGTCTAACTTGGATGGAAGGCTGAAAGCCTTAGAAGGCAATTGGTCAAAAGTCTCTGAAACACAGCTACCATTGAGCATACTAATTGACTGAAAGTCATCTCAACTAGAAAGTTACAGGAATCTCATATAATACACATATAGATGTTTGACTTGTCTGCATATGTCAGTAAGAACTGGTATAAATACAATGATAAACAAGACTGACAATATGAGGCAGGATTACATTACAGAACTGCTGTCTTTCAGCATGATCTAGCTTTGTTTCCTCACTGTTATATGCTATTTTTTAACAATGCTAATGAAAAATGTCTTGCTAGTGCAAATTTGACATTTTCCAGTGAAACACAGTTCCATATTCATGACCATCATATGTATGCTTTTAAAGGACTTAATCCATTTTATTAAAATATAATCTGCGAAATGGAAATACACTCTTCCTACTTCCCTCCAATAACTGAGTGACTTGTCCTGCTGCCTATAAGGCTAGAGATATGATGAGAAGGCAGACATATTCTGCTCTTTCAAAACATAAATCAGAGGCTAATCTGAAAATAATTCAAGGCAGTTGTTGGGAAGACTGTTCGTTTTACATTAAAAAGGACACAATATTGAACTAGTCTCTTGAAAACTCAAGACATTTCTAGAAAAAGAGCTTCCAACTCATATTTTGTTGCGCCAAAATATTTTTAGAGCTAGAGTACAGTACACGCCTCTCCATTCTTTAAAAACCACCTTCTTTTCATACTGAAGTTTACAAAGAGATCATAAGGGGCTGACATAAAAAACCTTCTATCCCTGAAAATAGTCTATGGGATCTTGTATAGCTTTAAAACAGTTTAAACAATGTCTAGGCAAAATGACTTAAAAATTAAGCTGTTAAGCAGAACTCTAATCCTAGTGAACTTAAAATATATATGTAAGACAAAGTTCAGGCTAGGAAGGATATACTTTTTGACATGAACTTTCTAGGGAGAACTACTCTGAGGCAGAGAAATGGGGAATTGGAGAGAGCTGCAGTGCCTGTTAGCTTCCATGATGAAAAGTAGCTCTCAGAATACCTGATCAGATATAGATGCCTGAAAAACTACACCAACTTGTGCTACTGAAGAGCACAACAACACTTTGTCACACACATCTTGCAGAATTCTGGTGTAAGTTGCATATTCCATGATAACACAAAACAGTAATTTTTAGCTTTGATTCAGGCTTCTTTGCTGGATTGACTTTGAAGAAGTTGGTTTGTTTCTTATGAACCTCTATGGCAGAAAAGCCATTGCTTGCATGAGGGCAGGACTGCCAAAATGTTTAGGAAACACACCGCTCAGCCATTATTCAAAGAAAATGTGTTAGAATATATGTTCTGTATGTTAGAAGTCACAGAATAAACAAAGACTGTTCCCACCTGGGAGCTTGATGAAGGTCAGAGCTAGTACTCTCCCAAACACTTCCAAGCCCTTCTAACTACAAAGCACCATATCTCCAGGAGCCCCTTGTCCACTCATCGAAGATCCAAGTAAGCAGCATGAAAATAAAATACTTCTTACATTCAGTGGTCTGTTTCTAGTCAACATCCACATGGACCAGGGAGGTAGATATTTTTATCTTGTTTACTTCTAAGTAAAAGAAACGATATCACAGAGAGGTTGAATCTCTGTGGGGAATCAGTATCATGCCAGGAACTGAAGTGAGGCATTTCTGACTCCAGTTCTTGGATTTTATTTCTTTATGATTTATGAGTGGGCGACAAAAATACGAAAGTAGATGGAAAGTTTAACTTTTTGTTGTGTAAATTAAGTGAAAAAAAAATGTATTACAAATATTCAAGTAAAGCACACCAAGCATTGTCAGCTGTACTCAGATTATCACCCCTTAAGTAATGACCTGCATTTCTTCCTTTACCTAATAACTTCACTTTTATTACCACAGAGGACAGTTCCCTGAGCATGTCAACAGTTCCCATTTATCTCGTGATCTGATTGCTTTTGATGTCTAGTCAGCACTGAAGGCAGATTTTCTAATAAATTCCCAGAAGCCTTTGAACAAATGCTCTCCATATAACACACTTGACAAACAAGTAACTCACCATCAGTAGCTTGAAGGCTGTATGTCAGGCCCAGTGCCAGGTAACCCTTTGCTAGGGACTCTCCAGCATCCTCACCCAGGTCTATCACCATTTTAGCAAAGTGTTCTCCTTCTTCCAGCTGCAAAAGAGATGGGTTGAGACTTACAGGCATTTCCTGTATATTTGCTCCAATAAAATTTACCATTAGGCTTCCCTGTGAGTGATCTGAGAGCCATTGGCATCAGGGCTTTCAGTGATCCCCATGAACACTCATAAGAAGAATGTAAAAGTTCAGATTAGCAGACCTTGGTGCACATGCTGCACAGTTTTGAGAAAAGTTTGGGTTTTGCACCCCAAACCCTTTCCAGATGTTTAAGATTAATCAAAGACACTATCTTATTTTATAGTTTCCTTTAAGTACTTCAATCATGCAGCCTTAAATGCAAATGCTGGACCAGCTGGACTACTTATGTGCTATCCTAGGGGTAGCACATTAGCAGGGCATTGAAAGGTCTAACAGGTTTCTTTCTTCAAAGGAAGACAATGATTTTTTTAAACCTCAGCAAATTTTACTTTCTTTTAAAACATTACAAGAGTGAAACAAGAACCCACTAACATCACTGAAAGCTCTCAGCTGCTGCTTGAAGTTCTGTTGCCACAAGGACACGCAAATTTCAGGACACAAATTTTGATCTGAACTAACACCCTTCCTTGACAGTTCTTGCTGCACTAACCCCTTTCATCATCTTTTGCAAAGATACAATTTCTTTGAAAATGCCTTTTATATTATAGATAGAAATTGGAGGAGAGAGCAGTCTCCACCTCTCAGGATCAGCCTCCAAATGATGAAATATGTAAGCTGGTCTCTTCTACTACATCACAGACTGCTCCCCACAGCATTACTTTTGACACCTTTCTGTCAGCATCTGTAAAATCTGACTGGTAATTTTAAACAAAAAAAAAAAGTTAAAATATTTTATTACAGAATGGAGTGTTTCTCATTTCTAACTTTAAACTCTCATTAACATCACCCAACCATCTTAAGTAGAAAAGACCAAGACCTGTACACTGTATATACCTTGAAACCATCACCTGTATAAACCTTGAAAGGTGTAGGTTGGAGAGACACTGGCAAAACTTGTAAGTAATGCCTGAAAGATAGAGCCTACAGGAAGTTCTCATGTCTATACAAGACAGTATGCTGATCCTGTCACCCACAATCAGTTATCCCTAATCAAGAAGCAGACACCATTACACTATCTGACAAATCTTCCCTTTGGAAACTTTAAATGCATCACAACTAATTTCATGGCATGAGGTTGTTTAATTTTGAGAAACTACTTTTTTTGTTTGAAATCCAGCTAGTTCAGACAAGTACTGTGGATGTGTGCCCTCTTTATACTCAGCATTGTCAGACTTCAGCACCTCATGGCTCCTTAACATATAAAATGACTCACCCATAACAATCTGAAATTAAAATGCACCATCAGACAAGAAATTTGCCTTCTGCAGTGATCTGCTAATATGCTACCCATGAGCAGAATCTACTTGACTTGATGTAGCATCCTGTCAATGGGCCTCCTAGTCCCATCACTTGAAAACATTCAGGTGACAACATTAATTAATGTTAAACAAACAACCCAGGATTTATTAGATGATACCAAACATAAGAAGATAATTACTTTTTACAAAAACCTGAAGAAAGACTGAAAAGTGCAAGTGAAGAAGCAAATCTCCAGATCTGGGATTTCTTCCCACTGGTACAACTCCCAGAGGCCACGGAATTCAAATTAGATGTAGAACAATTATTTCCCAGTTTCTGAAACCTCAGATCATCCAGTCCCATGACCAACACATATGTTATCATCAAACCCTTTCCTGAAAGCATTAGTGCTGCTCATTGCCCCATCAGCTGTGATTGTGGAAGCCACTAACTGACAAAGGAACACCTCTTGCAGAATTCTGGGACTTGCCAGCTAAACTGCAAAGCCTGTCTTTGAGGGTATAATCCAAAGCCTACCAAAACCACTGGAAATAGTCCCACCTACTTCAGTAATGTTGAGATAACGCCCTTAAACTCTGATCACATCAGGAAGATTGAGATTTGTTTCAGGAGATTTCTTAAGTGGTCAGTATCCCTACCAGCTTCCCTGACACATACTGAAATGTGCTCTGGACCAGAGCCTAGGACAACGGAAGAAGTGGCCCATGACTTGCCACACAGAAAAAAGCCAAAAAACAAAAACCACAAATGAACAACAAAAACCCGTCCTATACAACTATAACTGAATTATTCGTCTCTCAGAAACTTTTATGTAAGACATGAAATCTCTGCAGCCTGAAAATTCATTATGCACCTCCTTGCTATCATGAACAGCTATATTCCCACTCTCTTTCTTCATTGCTTCTCCTCTTCTCCCCACACACACTTTCATCCAAGAAGTCTCCATTAGATGAAGAAAGGAGCTATACAAGGTATTCTAATGACTAGTGAACAAGAGTAGGGGTGGGTAGAGTGTATGGAAAAAAAGACTGAATGAAAATTTTGAAGCTGAAGACATGTAAAATTGGAGAGATTTTGCTCCATTGTTTCTCTGAATGGTCACCTGATGGTAATTCCAGTCTCTGACTGCAACTACCTATACTGCATAAATCAGTAGTGCACCATTTAGCCTTCCTGCTTGCCAGTTACCCAGGGCCATCTGTCAGTATCACATTCATCTAATGAATGAATATTTAAAACCGTAACTTTTTAGAGTGGATGAAACAGCACTTCTAGCACATTCTTGCGAACATTTATTCATACTAAACACTAATGGCACTTTGGCCAGCCACAAAGATTCTTATGAATGTAAACCTGGGTCTGAAGTCTGCTTTGAAAATCAGTGGCTTCACAGACTCCAGCACAGCTGGTTCTGTTTATGAGAACATTTACTTTTCTTTCTTACAGCACTCAGACACTTCTCCTGCCAGCCCTGCTGTGGCAGCCATCTGCCCCCTCTTCTCCCATTCTCCTCCTCTTCAGTCATCCTGGGCAAGTGTGAAAAGCCAAACCTTTCACTCCCCATCACCCACTGTGAGGTTTCAGCTCTCCAGTGCATCAGTCTTGCAGATGGTCTAGTCAACTGTGATTCTGGAAAGTACTACCTGAAACAGGAGTAACCCCCTTGGGGTTACCCTTGGAGTAACCAGCTAAACTGCAAGGACTACCAGACTGTAGTCTGGATAAAAGCTCACTTTCCATACACCTGAGTGAGGGACCAGAAGTGAGCCTGAGCTGTGATCTGTCAGTAAAGCTGTGTTTGTGGGGGTCCTTGAGGATATGGGGTGTCTTCAGTCTGTATTGTGGAGATGAGAAAGCGAGGAGGGAAGGCTTACCATGTAACTCTCTTAGAAGGAACAAAAAACCAAGTCTCAAAGCCCTCCCTCCAATCTGGCCCTTACTGTTCTAGCCTTTTTCTACATACTTTGCACTGAAAAGCTGGTGGAGAGAAAGGCAGCATTCCTGATTGCAAGGAGAAGTTCCCTGCCTCCAAGACCTGCATGGAAGAAAGAAAGCATGGGGGAAAAGCAACCTAAGAAGAACTTCCTGCATTTTGAACTCCAGCTATATAAAGTGTCAGGAGGCACCTGGAACCACTAGCTAAAAGCAACCTCTCTATCACACCAGAAAGGAAACACCTGGCACCTGGAGAGAGTCTGCCAAACTGTGAACTGACACCAATGAGATGGTAATGCTCTGGGGTTGGTTGGGCTTTTTTTCCCCTTTCATTTCCTCCTTCACATTTGATAGAAAAAGAACAGTTGCTATGTGCTATCCTGAGGGATGTTTCCCCTGGTACAGAGAGTGGTTGTTCCAGCTACCACTGTTATTTGGCCACAGGTTTTGGTGTGTGCTGAAGCCAAGCCCGGAGGCACACTGAAAAGGGAGTGGGGAACAGCAGGTGCTGTCCCCTGGCCTAATGCCACCCAGCTGGTGTCCAACTGCCACCCAGATTGTTTTTAGAAAAGCTCAAGCCCTACCCCACCGAATCAACAGCTTGTAGGACTAAGTAGAAACTGCACTTCTCACTAGCACACATTTAGAATAACTGAGGATAAACAAATCAATGATGTACAGCAGGATGAAAACAGCATTTTATTGTGCCAAAAAAGAGGAGCACACCAAGGAAGAGGCAGGAAATACATCAAGTGACACTGGACTTAGGACAGCAGACAAGGGTAATGAAGCAGGTAAATCTGGACACCCGTGACATTGAACAATACCCAAGCACTTAAGAGATCAAAATCCTACAGAATGGGTACGTATACAAAAGTATACAGGATGTTAACTAGTTGAGTCCAACTCTTCTTAGCATTTTCATCACACTGGGTTGTAGCTATAGAGACTAATTCAAACAGAAGAATAAAAATATGGTGAAATGAGAATGATAAGAGGAAAAATGCATAGGAAGAAAGTGGGTCTATAAGGCATAATCTAATGAAAATGTTTTGTCCCACAGATGTTTACAGCACACAAAGCCAATTATGTTATGTATGTCAGAAAAAAAAAATCCCGTGCTTTCTATTGCTGGTCTAGTCAGCATTTGCTCTCGGTGTCACTGTTGTTGAGCCCACCAATTTAGTCTGTGTAAACTCGGCCCCCACCACTTAGGAATACTCAGGTCTTTCCTCCACTGTAGCTAGTGTAGCTTTGTTTGTTCACAAAGGCAATGTATTGAAAACAAAATTATTGGTCATTTTTAATGTCTAAAACACATGGGACTGCCCCAGAACAGCAGTGGTGATGTAATCAAGAATGTCTTTTAGAAGACAGAAGAAATACCTAGTAGCTCCTTGCCCTTCCCTGCTTTCTCAGCAGCCTCTCATTCTGGTGATGCCACTCCTCTTGGATGTCCAACAACAGGCAGAGTAACTCCAGTAATGGGACTAGATTTCATCTTTTAATATTATTCATACTGCACTATGACCTAATCATTTCCAGGCAACTCCAGGGCTCCTAAGTGACTGAGTACCAGCACATGCACAGCATTTATTATCTATAGTGGCAGGGTCAACAACAGACAGAAGGGGAGAGAAGCACTCTCAGATTAAGTGCTCTGTGAAAGTAATGAATGGTAAGCTGTTACCTCAGAAGTATGCAGCTCTAAATCTACATCCTGCCAAACCCCCTGACATACACACACCCCCTGATGTCCTGACCTCATGGCATGTCCCACTCAGTTTTTATGACTCCATGCACAGTCCGCTCTGGCCCAACACCACCTCTTCTCCCTTTCCCTGACTGATGGCATGGTCTCTGTCTTCCCAGAAAAGTGCTGCAGTAGAGCCCTTTGCTGTGCATACTTCCAAAGAAATGAGGGAAACAGGAGGTACAGCATCATCCTGTCCTGCAGCTTTTGCCATGGGACAAAGTCCTGTGAAAAGCTCATCTTAGCTGATAATACAGGCATCATGTGATGCTACACAAGTTTAGCACACCACCATTATTGCTATTATATCAACTGTGGAGCAATCAAAATCATAGACATGCCTGATGCCTTCCTGCTTTCTGTCAGAGCAGAGTTCTAGAAGATTCAAGCCTATCCTAGGACTACAGTCCATTTTGCTCTATGGTTATTTACAATATTTTCAACATGCCTCCATTGAAATCAATGGAGCAAAAGGCAAAAGAAAGCATCACGGTAACCCTAAATACCTCAAACAAGACTCCTAAAATGGAGAAATTCAGAATTTAATGCTTCTCTGTAGGAAGAAGTTCCATTTTTAGTATTTTCACAACACCTGCCAAACAGCATGCTGGAGAACCTAGATTAGTAGTGAAATTAACAGAACTGTACTATTAAAATATTAATAACAACAATTCATACTGCAACTCAAAGTCTTTGGCAAAATAGGCAAGTGACCATTCAGCTGAGACCATGCCAGGGAAGGCTGAGTGAAAGAGGAAATTGCATCAAGCCTTTTAGTGAGCACAACTCTGAATTTATAGTGGAGCAAGGCAAAGCAACCTCAGTATTGACATATTCCAGTGCAAGCTACCTCAGCTCTTCTATGGAAATTTAAAACAATACTCTGACCTACAATAGTCAAAGACTTCACAGTGCATTCTGGAAAGCTAAAAGACAGCTGGCTAAACACAAATGGGCTTTGTGTTCACTTGATAGAATCATCCACGTGCAAGTTCAGCAAACTGCTGTGCTGAAACCCCAGCAAGCTGGAAGGCTTAGCAGCAGGTTGCCTCAAAAGTAATTTTGAGCCTACTACAAAAACATTTAAAAACATAAAAGTTCCAACTTTGCTGTACAGGTCTGACTGCATCCTGACCATACAAATGTGGTTTACATATGTGCATTGGTTTTGAAGCTTTTCTGGTCCTCCAAGTCTATTGGCTTAAACATTATAATTAATGACGTATTAATTTATTGTTTACACTATATTGTTTTGATTTTTGTTTTTGAATACCTCTAATTCTGAAACAGGTAGCCAAAAAACTGCTTATACCACTCAGTTGTTTACTGCAGGCCCAATCCTAAAATCCAGCAGTTGATGGGGCAGATCATCTCCTGATGTAATCCAGCATGGTGCCCCTAACATGCCAGTAGAGTACTGCCAGCTCACATCAGTTAATGACCTAGTCACACTGCCACAACAGAAGCTGGGGGAGGCCCAGCTCTTTTCTGCATCAGGCTCTGCTATATATTGATTTGCATGGCACTGTATGAACGCATCCACATTTTCACTTTGATTTGTTCTGCACTGAGAGATTATTTCATAGATGCGATCAGAGCATCCTCAATGTTGTAAATCACTACAATGCATTTCAAATAATTTTCTGTTTTCCCTGCTCTTAAAGTGTGCTGAGACACCATGTACAAAGCCAGCAAAATGACTTATACACTAGATTAATCATGAAAGAAACTGTTCTGTGCTTCTCATGACATTCTGTAATTATCCATCTGCATAAATGTTGTATTTTTTTTTATTTTTTTTATTGCTAGTAGCTGAAAGAAGAATCAAGTACTGCTTGCCTGTGGGCTATAAACAAACTGGCTACAATACTGCACCACACAGTAGACAGATGCAGGATACAAATTAGCTGTTTCATTTGGATAAATGGTGATCTGATTTCACCCTTTTCCTGCCCAGCCAGCAACCAAGTGCACAGATATCTTTCCTAATTGAAAAATTAACCATATTTCATATGTTCTGAAATGGAAGACTTATTTGAATATTTGTTACTGCTAATATTTGTCCATTAGACTGTTCCTGTCCCATGTCTATCTTCCTTTCTATTTATACTGGCATTGATCAGCCTGTTCACTTCCAGTTTAAATTATTCAATTCTGATTTGATTGCCATGTAATTTAAATGCAAATAATTACTGTAAGGATGACATTTAGAAAAACAGCTCTGCTAAGCAGGAAGGTCTTTATTAGGCACAGGAGTCTGCCAGTAATATCAGAAGCACCCCTTTGACTAAGAGATGTAGGAACCTATCATTTCAGTTCTTTTAAAAGATGATCTGATTTCCCTCAGACTCCCCTTAATTAAAACTCTTCTATACCATGATCAAGTTTGCTAAGAGGGTAAAGCATAGGCCACTTACTGGAAGGCATGTGAGAGGGAATATTTTTAATTTGGTTTTAGTTCATAAGGCTGTGCTCCAGATAACTGCAGTAAAATTTCCCTCTTGTGAAATCATGATTTTATTTCATAACACCCCCAGTTCTGAGCCAGGGTCTGACTGAATAACACTGAAAAGCATTTCAACAATAAAAAAAGCAGTACATGGAAGAAAAAACCCTGTTGGTTTGAAATAATCAAAACCAGCTCATTTTTCCCTTCTTCCCTTGCCTTTCCTACGTTTTAGGGTTAGCCAGTTGTTTTATCAGCTCTGTCATGTATAAGAAGTCTGGACATACTGGATTTCCCAAGCTGGAATTGAATTACAGTCTCACTGTCTTTTCAAAGTAACAAGGTATTTTTATATGCTAGCTGTGCATTGAAAACTTCAAACATACTAAGAACAGCATTCAACACAGCTGTAATGCCTCACTGTCATACTGTTTTAACATCTCTAAGAATCAAAAAAAAAACTTACTTATTTTAAAAAAATAACATTCACTGTGAATCTTTTTATATATCACTGAATTCCTTTTAGACTTCAAAATTTAGAGACTGAGCTGTGGGTACAAGTGGGTTAAATTGCTCCAAATATAGAGTAGAAGTAGGCTGGGCAGTTCAGCAAGGATTCCCTGAAGGTCCTCAGACTTGAAGATTTTCCCTAGAAAAAGATGCTGCCCAGTTTTTGCTAACTCACATACAAGCTTAACCATTATAGTTCAAACAGTATAGTTCATTCAAAAACATGCATAACCAGACACCCTCCCTGACAGTGTTGTAAACTAATACACCCAAGTTTAGCTGAACAGCAGCTTCCATCAGACAGGGATGTAGAAGTTGGGGATGCAAGGTAAGGGAACAAAACAACAGCAAATTGGCTTCTACAACTTTTCTCCAAGATCTGTGCAAATTATTCTGGTATTTTCTTTCATGTTTTCTTGCATCTTGTTTTATTTCTGTTCAGCAATTGTAATCCTTCACTGACTGCAGGGACACCTCGTGGTGAGGACAGGTGAGAACAGCAGGCTGCCATTCAGTTAATTAAACCAAGTAGAGAGAGTGAAAGATGTTTCTGTTCCTTTGGACAATCAGAATTTCACGGGCACCAACTTCCACTCCCACTCTGCTTCTGGGACATACATTAACACATCTAGAACACAAAACACTGACACAGCAACTTCAAGAACAAAGAACTGAGGTGTCCAGCACTAACAGTCCACTTATAACTATTAACTTGTGTCCTGCAGGGGCTACAAGAGTGGCTGATTCAATGTGACACTCAGTTGAAGCAGCAGTCCACAGAATGGCTGATATGGCTTTCCCCCCTCCTCCTTTCTTCAATGTGCCAGCAAAATACATTTTAATGACTCACTACAAAATTTCTTGCAGGGATTTTCATTTTTTATAAAGGGCACACATGTGCGTATGATTTTAGCTGGGATTCCCTTTCTCCCCAGTGCAACTACACTGTGGCACTGTCACTGCAGCACTCACTCTGTTGCATAATAAGAATTGCATCAGCTTGCTTACCCAGTGCAGTGACCCAATGCAGACCTTGGCAGCCAGAAGAGGAACGGTGGGATCCGTAGGTCGCAGTTTAGCGCACTCTTTGAGCACGGACACTGCATATGCTGACTGGAGGAGTGGGAGAGAGGAGGAGGAAATAAAAAAGGCTGATTAGACAATGCTGTTGAGTCCATGCAAAACATTGCAGTGACATGTACAAAGAAGTGCTGTGGAGAAAAGAATCCCATGTCAGCAACAAGTCAGCAACTTCATTCCCACCTCCACGCCGTGTGTACACGCACTCACACAAACACACTCTTCCCACACTCACAGGAACACGCCCAAGAGGCAGCCCTGTCTGTGCACTTCACAAGAAACAGTTTCCCTAGCTATCACTGCACTGGTTATTTCTAACTGTGCTCTCCCAATACACAAGAATTCTGCTGTAGTTTTCCTTGCATATCATCATCTTCCAGTAAGCCAGAAGAGATCATCAAGAGCTTATCCTCCAGTACTTTCACATTTTAGGCCAACTTCACTCAGAGAGGTTTGATCAGCTAAAGTAATCTGTTCAGTAAGGTGTTTTGTGTCTTCTCCAGTTCCAGAACATACAAGAAAGCAACTGGGACCCCACCATATAAAGGGTGGATGCAGATCTATACACTGTTTAGTGGGTGATCCAAGCACGTGTTACAAAGAAAGCCCATAAAACTCTTGCTGTCTTTCTGGTGTTAGGTTACCCTTAATGAGGACGTTTTTCAGGATTAGCACTTGCATAGCCCTTTTGATCCCATGTGCTCTGCAAACATTGCACATTGTGTTTTACAGCACACATCCATGTCTGCCACATTTCAGATGCTTTAAAGGGGAATGAAGAAAGCTCTGGTCTGAGGCAGTGATGAGAAGGTCACGCCTCAGACAGAAAGAAGGTGACAGGAGTTGCCCTACCAGAGACTCTCAGCCCATTCCACCCAAACTACAGTTTGTCTTACATTTAAACCTTCCTCCTTACTGACCCTAATCCACTCAAATTTTCTCATGCTTAAGTTTAAGGGACATCTTGGAATTTCTCCTTGCATGCCTGCTTCCTCCCAGAGTCCCCCACACAGTCCCAAGACACAATGTTCCTGCTCCAAAGCATGTTAAATAGTCATGCCCTTTCTATATAACAGAAAAGCAGCAACAGAAGCTTGCAAAGTCAAACAATCTGCTATTCCCATCAGGTCCTGGGTGTCTCCTCCAGACCCCCAGGGGCTCTCCCTACCAGAACTCTGACCCACACAGTGTCTGGTGACTGCTGCAATCCCCTGCAGCAACACCACAGCTTCACATTCCCACTGTCCATCAACACTTTCCCCCCGACACCACATCACAGTGGGCTGCACCTGCCAGCTCCTTCCTCCACAGAATTGAAGGTCCACTTCTTGCTACTGAATTCAAAAGCTTGACTAGAAATTTCCTTGGAAGGGAACCTGGAAAAATGGATGTCCATCAGCCATGCCCACCTTAAGGCAAAGAGAGGTTTCATAACCAATGGAGCAGAGAGCAAACCCTCCTCCTGCTTGAGAAGCTTGGGTACCCGTCCTGTGGTCTGAACAAGAGCAGCAGCACACTCTACATTCTTCAAGTTGCTCCTACTTACATAGAGCATCAGGCATGATCAGTAAGAGTGAGGAAGCATTTGCTAATTTAACATTCAAAATGCACAATTTACCTAAAGCCAGAAGGAAGCTTGTCTCAGACTAAGGATGGAGATCAATAAGCTTTGTCCTAGAGTTTGAAACATTACTTCATCCCTCTGAGAAATAAAGACATGTAATTCAACCCTGAGATACAGGAACAAACACACTGCTGTGCTCTCTTGCCACAAGGCGACTAGCATCCCTCACAATGAACCTCCTTGACACCTATTTGTTCAGAACAAGTGGTGTCTCGGGTTTTAGTGGCATCTTATTGCTCTCTTTTGCAAAATGCACTGAAAGCAGCTGGTATTCCCAGTACCATGATGGATGTGTTGGAAATCCAAGCATAACACCGTAAGGGACCTAGGCTGGATATCATCTTCCTGCCTTCCTACCTGTATTCCAGCCCCACAGGTGCTTCCAGGAAAAAAATAAATGTGACAGCAGGACAATATGCACCATAACAGCCAGTATATCTGCAGCTGAACCCCATCAACCTTTGTCCTTTCACCATGCAAAAGTGAACTGCAAAGGCTAGATACGTAAAAGGCCATACACTGCCCAGAGCCAACACTTGCAAAAACAGACACAAGCTCAGCCCAGTGGTCATTTCTCAGCTCTCCACCAGCACTGCAATTGCAGGGAAAGCAGGAGGCATCTGGGAGCTGGTGGCAGCTCTCCTGTGGATCAGCACGACCAGCACTAGCACAAACCAAAGCAGCGACAAGCCTGACCTAATATGGGCCACAGCTGTAGAAGAGAAGTGACACCACCCATTCCTTGCCAGTTCCTCAAACTCTGCTCCCTCCCTGTCTGCAGGACAAGGCAATGCCACAGCCTCCAAAACCCTCAAACCACAGAGCCCTTGCCATGTCTGTCCTGCCCCAAGCCTGATCAGGAGGCCACTGCAAAGCAGTGACTCCTGAATGCTGCACAGGAGAACGTCCCACCTTGTGCCCACACCCAAACACCTCAGGTGTTGAGTCGCTCTACTACATGTGTACTTGAGAGCTTCTGAACATGGATTTACAGAGCAAGAAACACAGTTTCTGCACTGCTCCTAAAACATTTACAAAGTTATGTCATTTTAAAGAAGTTTATAAAATTTGCAACTAAACATATGGAGCAGAAGTGGTTTTAGAAACAGGGTGACATGAAGCCTTTCTCCCCAGCTGCATTTTAAAAATTCAAGAGATATTATATAATTTCACCTTGAAAAATTTACTCAGCAGATATTTTATACAGATGATGAAAACATTAGTCAAGGAATGACAGGAGAAATAACATCCCACTCCCACAGTGACCTTACTTAGAGGAGACTGGTATGACATGTCATATCAAGGTTTCTTAAAGATACTAATTACAAACTAATAGCCAGGGAAAAAATATCAAGCGCTCATTACTGAATATCATTGGTTTGTAAAACTATTGAATATGAAACAGTGTTTGTGCAACATTGAAATAATCTGGTAATTAAAATGTACATATTCTTTCACTTAGTGTGGGTGGACCAGGCAGCCAAGTGCATTGTTTGTGAGATTCACTGCAAGGCAATAATAATTTGATTTATTGGTGAGGCATATTTTGAGAAGTGCAGAAATTGAATTTCAAGTAAGTACATGCTTCCCACTCATGATTCTGAGCTTCAGAGGGGCTCACATAATAATTCAAGCCAGGATTAATGGTGTTTCTATTTAACTTGCTAATTGCTGGCTTATAATGACTGCACTAGAATCAGTTCCCTAGGACTACAGAAAGCTGGGTCTCATTTGGCCTCTCATCTAGAGCAAGAAATCACAAGGAAGCTATTGGGGAAGGAGAATGATGAAGAGGACACCTCCCCCTGCATAATTATGGCACCCATGGTTTTGAATCCTATAAGGGAGTAAAATGTAAAGAAAAACAACTATCCAAACACAGAACACAACTCCCACTCCCTATTTACTAATTCAGTAATCAAGCATGGAGGCTCAAAGATGCTTGCACATGAGCTCAAAGATGCTTGCACATGAGCAGAAGTGAACCGAGAACATCCTACAGTTAATCTTCTTTCTTCCTTTTCCAAATGGCTCGAGAGAATTTTCCATCAGTTATGGCAAACCCATAGATGCTGCCTAAATGGTTTTTCTGGGTTACTCCAACACAATTTCCATTCTTTCCCCTCCTTTGCTCTCTCACCATACCAAAGCAATGAAGGAAGGAAGTAAGAGATCATTTAATACTTAGAAGATAAAGAAAATGCAGATATAAGTAAAAGGAAGAATAATTTCCAGACAGTAAATAATGCCTGATAGACTTTTGGCATGCCATGAACAGTTGCTCTTCTCGTGCACAGGTTCCATAAACATCCCTAGTTTTTTGCTTCTTTGCTACTTTTCAGCCAGAAGGAAAAATGTTCCTCAAGATGGTGGGTTGGTAGACAGCCTCATTCTCAATTTACCTGGCAGTTTAGTACACAAATGAATTTCCACAACTAGTGCTGCTGTATTTCTTGCATCATCCTATCTAAAAACTGCACTATTTCAAAGGGATTGTGGGGAAGTGAAGGAAATCTTTCATCCCAATGCAAGAATTTCCATTCCCTGTGTCCTGGGATTCACAGCCATGTAGATATAAATGACCTTGAACTGACACAGAAAGATGACAGAATGAGCAAGCAACTGAGAACTCTGGAATCAGTAGTTTTGCTGTTAGCTTTCCACTGAATTTTGAGATTTCTGTGAATCTCAGCATGAACATTATTCCCCTAAGACATTACTTCTCTTAACACAGGCACTGATTCCCTCCCTTTTCTTTTACCTCGTGTTTATCAAATTAGTGCACTGGAGTTAAGCAGCTTCAAATACTCCCTCTTAAAAGCACCTCTTACATTCTAAGATCTATAAGCACACATTTGTACTTGCTAATGTGACAAACACCTCACTTCACACTTTCTGTCAAGAAAAGAGAGTTAAGCCTGAAGGCAATTATATAGCCCACCTAGGTATTCTGCTCAACAGTCAGGCATCTTAGGAAATTTCCATTTTTTGTACTATCTACAGCACACAGGCAAACTCCCTTCTAATCTTTCCTTTGCACCAAAGGAAACCAAACTATTGAATATCCCCAAGACAGCTGACCTTTGTAACAGGATCTTTAGCCAATGAATGTTCAATATTTTAACTTTCATTCCCCGGCAATGCTATTTAAGGAGCCATCTGAGGCCTCTGCTGCTCCCAAGGTTCCTGTCTGCAATACAAAGAGAAATGTACTTTTTTTTTTTTTTTAATGTCAGTTGCCTAGCAACCAGCCTAAGCTTTTGCAAGGATACCAACAGAAGGAACAGCCTAAATCATAAAATTTGTCTGCTGTTGCTGCAGAATTATGTATTAAATATATTTTTAACTTTCCTTCTAACCTTCTGGAAAGCTGTATGTTGGCAATACAGGCATGGCTGAGTCAAACTTG